GGTGTGCGTGCATTCTTCCTGGGCCAAGTCTATGCCCTTTATTACTTCTCAAAGAGATTACTGACCAACATTTTAGAGAAATGTCAGTTCTGACTGCATTTAGATTCCACTATATCTGTGGTTTTGGTTTGTCCAGCAGCTTTTTCTCATCATAGCACTCCTTTTTTGGGAAGGGGGAGTTTTCCCCCCTGAATTTCACACTGCCCCTGCTGAATCTTCCCTTTTCAACTGGTTGCTAAACCCAGAGAATGTAATCTAGGTGTCTGCACAGTTCCCCTCCGATGTAGGGGCCAGCTCCACTGCTCCCGGTTCTCAATCTGTTACAGGGCAGGGAGAGGGGCACCCCAGATCACGCAAACCTGCCTGCTCTAAATAGGTTCTGCCATCCGCCGCATCAACACAAAACATAGGAGACTTTAATGGGAAGGAACTTTAATACAATTGGGAAACAATACAGGAAAGGCAAAGAATCTAGTTTCTAAATCAAGCACCCAAAGTTACCCGTCCCCTCTTGGGTAAAACTCCATCCAGATGGGATTGGCCCAGAGCAAGGCCCCAAAGCCTGCCCCAAGTCTAAAGCATCTTCCAGTGGGGACCCACAGAAAAGGGTCAGAAACAACCAGACAAGTCTGGAAGGAAAAGAGCAAAATCAAAATCAAGACAAAACCCGCCATTGTCACCTCCCCACGGGTCTCACCCACATCTGTGTCACCCAGTTCATGACCACAAAGCAAATACAGTTCCTTCACGTGTCTCTCAGCTCCGTGCGCCTCCTCCAGGTCTCCTGGCTCCTTCCTGCTTCCTTCCTTCCTCAGTCTCCTCTGCGGTAGCTTCTCTCCTGCTCAGCTCCACCCTCCCTTGGGTGGGGCAGGAAACCTGGAGCCTCCCCCTTTCCTGGGGACCACACTGTTATACTTCCATTTCCCTTCTGTCCTCTCTATCATCCCTCTTTCTTTTCTTTCCTTCCTTCTGTTAAAGGGCGGTAAATTTAGCCAGAAGAAGGTAGGGGTGGGATGTTCCATGGACAGAAAAGCACAGGGTTGGAAACAGCGTGGCCCCAGGAGCGCTGGTTCCTGGGGCCGCAAGGAGGGGTTGAGCTCAGCCGCTATTAAGATCCGCCATGGCCAATGCCCCAGCAAGGCACGCTCTGCACGAAAGGCCAAAGCGCTACAGTGGCTGGAGATCAGGATTACAAAGACCCAGTAGTGAGAGAGGAAAGCTTAAAGGGCCAGGCTGAGAAATCAGAACGGGTGTGACCTCCACCGCCAAACCGCCCAAGAAATATTAATCCCGCCCCCTGCAGAGGGAGGACCGGCCCCACCCGGGCATGGCTGTGAAGCTAGCCCAAGACCACCTCTGAATAATGGAGGTTGGGGAGGGGACTGGAGAGAAGACTTCCTCTAGGACTGTAAGTGTGTCCATCTCCCTCCCCTCCCAGTTGTCTCCCTCTTGAGGCTCCCACTTGGTAGCACCTGCTTTATCCTCTTACCTCTAAGGCGCTCAGGGAATCCCACTCTCTAGTCCCCCTGCAGGTGTCTTCTGCCAGATGCTGCCCTAGCCGCCCAAGAACCATGAGCCCTGCAGCCCCGGTAAGGAGAGATCTCTGGGAGAGGCGGAAGGGTCCCCTCAGGGTGGGGACCATCTCAAACAGGAGATAGGAGGCCAGGAGCCTTTTAGGTCTGTTCTCTGAATGATCTAGATCTTCTTGTAGTGGGGGTTTGTGGGGCTGAGCTGCTCAAGGAAAGATCCTGGAAGGGCAGACTGAGGTGACAGACAAGGCGTCTTCTTTCTCCACTTGGATTCCCTCCGATTCTTTTTTTCTTTTTTTTTAAGATTTATTTATGCATACAAAAGCTGGGGTACAGACCAGAGGCCCGGGGGTGGGTGGGATGAGAGGATTCACCAGAGACAGAGTGGAGAGCAGAACAGGCAGAGCTACTGAAGTACACTGTGGAAGGGAGCAGCGGGTGAGACAGGAGAGGTCTGCTGCACCATGTGGGTAGCTCTGGCTGGCAGTGGCTGCAGATAGCTTCACAGGTTGAGTCCTAACCCTGTGCCACCAGGGAGGGCCCCCCCCATCCATTTTTAACTATGGCCTGAAGGAACCTTTTCAACACACAATCAGACCACCTAACTCTTCATCATGAAACTCCCCATCCTCAGGCTTCGGTCCTATTGTCCAAACTTGAGCTTGTTATCCAAAGCCTTCAGGTTATATCCTTGCACCCCCTACTGCTTCATCATCTGCCTCTTCTTTGCCCTCCCTACCACTGCACCCTACTGTCCAAACACACTGAAATACTCCACACTCATTTGAATTTCCTGACAATTGCTCATCTGAGTTACCTAGGTTCCCCGCCCTCCCCCACACCCCCCCCCCCGGGAAAACTCTTATTTATCCTTCAAAACCCCTTTCAGCTACTCGGGAGGGCTCTTAGGTAAAATCAGACTCTTCCATTGTTCAGTGTTGCCCTGTGCTCTAATTGTATGTTTATGTATAGTCTCTCCCACCTGAGTGGAACCTGGTGCAGGAAAGAGGAAGGCCCTGTCAGGTGCTTCTTTGCGCCTTCCACTAGTTTCCAGTAAAATGTCGCGCACAAACTGAGTACTGAAAAAAAACTGACAAAACGATGAAATTGGCTTCTTCTGGCAACTTAATTTTTTCCCTAGAAAATGAGTTCCAGATTCATAGGAGAAATTATTTCATGATAGAGGAATGAACAAATGTCCTACTGATACCGGAATTGTCAGGCCTAGTCTCCCAGCCAGGAACGGATCCCAGGCTGCAGGGGCAGCGCTGAGTCCCAGCCACTAGACCCCCATGGGTTGGTGTCTCATGAAGCCGCAGCAGGAACTTCCCAGACGCTCAGGCAAGCAAGCGAGAAGAGGCAGGTTTGTTTAGAGAAAGAAAAAGTTGATTGAGGAGAAAAAGAACAGAAATAAAATGGGACTCCCAGGCCAGGACTCCCAGGACTCCCAGGGAACCAGGCCTGGGAGGGGCAAGGAAGCCAAAGTGGAGTCGTGTCTCAGGGAATATATACCTTCTTTCCCTAATTTTTCTAAAGCTCCACCAGTCTCTTTGTGATTGGTTAGTTCTCGGCTGTCTCACTTAATTTGCTACTGAATGGGGGATCTTCACATTCCTTATCTAACAGGTCTGTCTTTCCCCATTTGTTGCATCTTTATTTTTATGGCCGTCCTCTGGATGGACATTCCTGCATTGAAGTTAAGCAGCTGCCCTTCTAATGTGTCCATAAATTAAACCACTCTCCATTTCTACAATCTCTGCCTCTCTTTACCACCTAAAGGAAACCAGGACCAGCGTTAACAATGTTGTCCTTGGTGCTGGGATGTTTGTTTTTCCTAGTGGAATTGGTTACACTCCTCTTGCAGCCCTTATCTCTGAAGCCTTCCTCAATTCTCCGAGGTCCCCTCCAGCAGTGTCCCTAAAACTGCCTAGTTCCTAGCTTGCCCTGTGTCTTACTACTGAATAAAGCACAGGTGCAGCCACTGTTCTGTGCTCGATGTCAGCACAATGCAACCACCCAGGAGTACTGACCAGTTCTGGGGCTGCAGACTACAAGTCCCAGAAAGCCTTGTGTCAGCACATCCCTCCATACCGCGCCCCTTCCCTGGGGGGCGGGGCCAGAGGGCGGAGCCCAGGGCTAGTGAGGGCCCAGGACTCCCCTGGGGAGTGGAAAGCCCCAGGCGCCCTGGGGCGCACAAGGCGCAGGCGCAGCGGGTTGGGTGACAGCAGCATCAAGTAGCAGCCGTTTTGGCAACAGCATCCTCAACAAGTGTAGACAGGTGGGTGCATCAAGGGGGGGCTGGAGAGGGCGTTTGCACCAGGCCCTCTAGTCTGATCTGTATTAGGGCTGAGAGTGGGGCGGGAACGGTAGAAACAGGGACGAGGCTGGGCCCTACCACCCAGGTGTGCCAGCCCTTGCTACGCAGCAACAGGTGTGAGCAGGTGGGGGAAGGGCAGAGGCACTTGCTCAAAGGTAAATCCCCTCAGCAACAGAAGCACCTGGATTTCAGCCCAAGCTCTGTCACATGTGTGGATAAGTGATTTGCTGTCCCTCAGTTTGTCCATCTGCAAAATAGGAATAAAGGTCCTATTCATCGGACAGAGTTACAGCGGAGAGGAGGTGAGGTAGATGAGTGTGTGGAGTGGATCCTAAACTTTGCTGCACATTGGAATCACCGGGGCACCTTTAGAGACTATCCCTGATTGTCCAGATACTCTGATTTAGTTGTTATGGGGTAAGACCTGGGTGTTGGGAACTTTATAAGCTCTTTTTGCTGTAATAAAAGCCCACATTGCTGGGTGTAAATCCTAGCTTCCTATTAAGTGGGTGTGTATGAGTGACCGGACCTCTCCAGGCCCTAGATTCGCGGGGAATAACAAAGATTGTTGTGAGGCTCTTATGAAATAATAGATAAAAGCACTGAGAAGTATACCAGGCATGTAGTGCTCAATCAGTCAAGATGCGGGTAAACTATTATTTTACTCACTTTTGTGAGCAGTTCAAGAGGGGTCCAACTGTGATGGAGGCTTTTCTTATCCTCAAAGTACGTTCACTGCTATGAATTCTAATATTCAGTGTTATCAGTGTTTCAGAGTTCAAGGGCTTCTAACATTTTAAGAGTTTCTCACTCCAGCTTCTACCTGTCCCATACGCACTTTTATAGATCTAAAAATGGAGGCCGGGGAGAAGGGACTTGGCTAAGGTTATGGCGCAGAGACTGGAATCCAGGCTTCTCACCCCACCCCCGCCCCAGCACAATGGGTGGCTGCCCTGTTGACCCCCACAGGGACAGTGCTCCCATTCTCTGCCACAGAACAGGGAGGAGACAGGCAGGCCTGCCCTTGTTTACTTATGTTCTCTTAAACAGTTCCTCGGTGGCTCCCCCAGGGAGGACAGGGCTGGGGGCTTCTCTCTGGGGAGCTGCTGTGGAGCTGCTGATGAGGCCTGCGTGTCCTGTGGCTCCTCTGACAGGTTCCGCCTGACTCCACCCTGGAGAGTCCTTTTGAAGAAATGGCCCTGGTGAAGGGTGGCTGGCTGTGGAGACAGAGTGAGTGACACTGGGCTGAGCCCTTATCTATCTTCAGGGGTGTCTGGGGCAGGGGTGTGGGAAGCGGCTTGTCAGGTCTTCTGGAGTGAACTCTTCTCCCAAGAACTCAGGACCTTTTTATTCTCCTTTGTCCATGTACCTCCCTCTACCTGGGTCGTCCTTCCCCTTCCTGACTGCTTGGTGAACTACCTACCCAGCTCAGATGTCCCTTTCTGTGAGGAGCCTTCTCTGACCTCTAAACCCCACCCTAGTCCCTCCTGTAGCAACAAGCTGGTTTCGAGGCTCCCTTCTCAGTTCCCCAATGCTGTGTTTTAGCACTGATAACCCTATAATACACCTTTACTTGTGGGTCTTATCACTCCCCCACTGTATACCGGCCTCAGATTGTGAGCTTGTCAAACACAGGGACACAGAACTAGGCTCAGAACAAAATGAGAAGTGCTTCTGTGCTTGGAATCCATAAAGTTCTAAGCAGCTCTCTATGTCTTGCCCTTTCCTGTTAAGATTTCCAGTCACAAAATGTCTGAAACCAGGCTTAATTTCCAGAACTGGCCCTGACCAGTCATGAGCTAAACAAGAATTATTTCTGGGCTGGAAGCCCCATGCTATTCTATAGCCCATGCTCAGTTCAGCAAACACTGAGCCTGGTCCTGCCGGGTGCCAGGACCCACATGAGAAGCTGAAGACCCCCAATCTGGTAGAAGAAGCAGATACTACACAAAGGACTGTCACATGAGTTAGAGACAAATAAGAGATGAGATGGAGGCTCAGGGTGGCGAGAAGTCTTTCTCCTCGAAAAGACCCAGGGCTTGGCCTTGGAAGCCCCTATGGGCTTCATTGGGTCTGGTCACTTGCATTTACCTTTTACCCAGCAGTTTTACAAAGCATCTGCTGTGTTAGGCCCAATGGGAGGCAATGGATAAGCAAAAAGACAAGGGGGTGGACAGACAAGGAAGGAGTAGGGGTTCGGGGTGTGGGAACTCTGGAGCCCATGAAGGCTCCTGCCCCTTGGCAGGCTCTGCCATCAGCCTGCCTGGCGCATCTGGAATATCACACAGGCTCCATCCTCCGCCGCTGGAAGCGGAACTGGTTTGCCCTGTGGATGGACGGAACCCTGGGCTACTACCACGACGAGACTGCCCTGGATGAGGAAGACCGCGTGCTCATCCACTTCAATGTCCGAGACATAAAGATTGGCCAGGAGTGCCGTGGTGAGTAGAAGTCTTTCCTGTGACTATAGGCATGGCCCTCCCCTGTCTCTGTGTGAGAACGCCTGCCCTGGAAGACTCTTTGTAGCTGTCAGACGGTTTCTACAGACATTGCTTCTGGGCCTCTGTCAACCCCAGTTCCCGTGAAGCTGATTCTTGAGAAACATGATTAAGAAATCAGTTCCTTATTGAATTTCTAATTGGTGCTAGGCCTGAGGCTTATGATGGGGTCAGAAAAGTGTCAGACTCTTTCTACTTTGCCTTCTAGGGCATAGGAACTGGATAAAGATAAAAGGAAATGAGGCTCAGAGAAGTTAAGTGCCTGACCCAGGGTCACACAGCAAATCTCCACTAAGGCTTAGGCCACAGTTATAACAGGGTAATTGGGAGATAGATGTACCTAATTAGGGAGGGAGCATTGGGGAAGGACTTAAAAAGGTCTAAAAGAGTAGAGAAGAATCCCAAAGAAAGTGTATGGACTCAGAGGAGGTTGGCAATGGCCAGAAAACAGAAGCCAGAAAAGCCAATTCCTATTCTTGTTCCTGGTTTGCCAGGGGATTAGGGGGCTGAGCCTTGTGGAAACTCCATATATGTGTGTTTGCCTGTAGATGTGCAGCCCCCAGAGGGGCGGAGCCGAGATGGCCTGCTGACCGTGAACCTTCGGGAAGGTGGCCGCCTGCACCTGTGTGCGGAGACGCAGGATGATGCCATGTGAGTCACTCCCAGCAGAGGCTGGGGTAGGACCCTGGGGAATGTGTGCCTCCTCTTCATTGGGCCTTCTGATTCCCTGGAGGTAGGAAGAGAGGACAAAGACCAGTGAACTTGGTGGTCTCAGAGGAGACTGGCGGAGGGACTATGAATGGCTCATGATGCATGGTATGGTACCCAGTAAGCCCCTTACAGTCTGTGATGAACTCAGGACAGTCGGGGAAGGAGTGTGGTCCCTGGTCACTCAGACTCAGGTATTTAATAACCGCTGAGATGCACTGTTGCTTGGGGGTGATACAAAGTAACACAGAACCTGGTGATACCCTCAAAGGGCCTTCCTTCCACTCTCTTCTGAGAAGATGCCCTGGTAGGGGGATTCTGAGGGGTAGACCCCGACCTGCCTAACAGAGGCAGCCAGATGTGCCCAGTGTCAGATACACACCCACACTGCTAGTCTCCCTTGGGCGCCTTCTTCTCACTCACATTCTTTCCCTTCCTACCCTCTGGCAGGGGGTCAATTGGCCTGTGAGCTGTAGGAGAGTGAAAACCACTGAGCGACTGAGCCGTATGGGAAGGGGGGAAGCTGAGCTCTAGACAAAGCACAGAGCCGCCTTGTCCACCCCAGCCAGGTGCCATGGCAACTAACAAAGGCCCAATTGTTTGGTGTCTAATGGGCCTTCCTGGGGCTCTGGGGTCAGAGCCTCCGGAGCTGTTTATAGGTTTGGGATGTGGAGATAGCTAGGAAGGCTGTGAAGGCCTCTACAAAACCAACCGAGTCCATCTATCCATTGCATAGATGGAGAAACTGGAACTTCTAGAGGGGAAGAGACTTTGGACTAAAAATGGGAGGCCCCAGCTCAACTGAGGGCTCTGACCATGTGACTAGGGCAGGGGTGGGAGTCATCTGTGTTACTCAAGGGAGTCAAGGAGCTCTCCCCTGAGAGACTGGGGCTAAAAAGGTGGGTTGGGGTAGAAAGTCTAAAATGTGGGGCCCTATCCCCTTCTCCCAAACTCCCTCCTCATGATCTGGTGTGATTTGCTTGGCAGAGCATGGAAGAAGGCGCTGCTGGAGGTGAACTCTACCCCGGTAAGCCCCCCATTCCCTCCCCCTCTCCTTCTCACTCCTACCTGCCATGGAATCATGGGTGACTCAGATTCGGTCTCGACCTGCCAGTTCTCATTTCCCATGTATGTGAGTGAATACTCTGCAAACTCAGATGTCCTGAGGCCCAAGCAGAAAAGAACAGAAGACAGAAGACAGGAGGGCAAGGCTTGTTACAGGGGGTGGCATGGAACCTGGGAGAAAGGAAATGTCCTTTATCGAGCAACTATTATGTGCCAGGTGTGGTGCAGGTGCAATTCCTGTGAGGTTGGGATTATTGTTCCCTCTCTGCAGATAATAAGACATCTTTGTTCATCTACACAACAAATATTTACTGATTTCCTACTATGTGCCAGACACTGTGCCAAGTACCAAGGATCACAGATGAGCTTGGAGATGTGGGCTCCACCCTCCTGGACTCAGCCTAGTGAAGAGCCAGATGTGAAACAATTACTTAGATAATGAATGCTTCTGGTGCAATGGTGGTGACTGCTGGGATGGTGGAGACACGCAGTGTGCATTCAGCGTGCAACTGCCTTGGTGGGAGGACACAGGTGGGGGGTTCAGACAAGATTTCAGATGAAACCTGCAGGATAAACAGAAATAGACTGGGTGAAAGGGGTGGTGTGGGTGAAGGAGGCAGATTCCCAGGAAGAGGGAACTGTATGTATAAAGGCCCCGAGGGAGGGTAAGACTTTATCAAGTTGAAGAACAGATGGAAGGTTGGAGTGCTGGGAGCTCATGAGAGAGCACATGGGGAAGGAGGGTTGGCAGGCCAGGCCTCATTGGCTGTGTTTAAGGATGTTGGTTTCTGCTAAGGGTGCTAGGAAACCATTAAAAGTTTTATTTTTTTAAAGATTTATTTATGCATACAAGAGCAGGGGTGCATGCCAGAGGTGTGGGGGTGAGAGGATTCACCAGAGACAGAGTGGGGAGCAGAACAGGCAGATGTACTGAAATACACTGGTGAGGGAAGGGGAGCAGCAGGCGAGACAGGAAAGGTCTGCTGTGCCATGTGGGTCACCTCCCTGGCCAGGGATCGAACTCGTGCTGCAGTGGCTGCAGATAGCCTCATAGTGCTGCATCTTAACTCCTTGCACCACCAGGGAGGCCCCAAAACTGTTAGAAGTTTTAAAAACAGGACAGCATGATCAGATCATACCAGATTTGTATTTTTAAAAGATAGTCTGTTTGTCTGGTAGGGAATGTAGTGGGTAAGAGTGAATACCTGGAGACCAGGTGAAGGCTGACACGGTGTCCTGGCAACAGGCTGGAGTTCTGAACTGGGGACAAGCTGATGAGAGTAAGACTATAGGTGGTAAGTGGTGAAGGTATAAGTTTGTGTTGCTGCCAAAACCCTCAGCTTGAGGGTGCCCCAGCTTGGCCTCAGTTCCCATCTGTCTGTCTCCAGAGTCTGTGATTGGTCCTATCTGTGGCGCAGGAGACCCTCCTTTCATCTAGAAGGTTTCCTGGGAAGTAGCAGGGAAAACTGGGATGCAGTGAGAAACCTCCTGGGACACCCACCTGCTGAGAGTTCAGCATTGCGCTGAGCACCTGGATCGCTTACATGGTTTAATCTTCCAACAACCCTGACAAGGGGGCAGTGATATTTTTAGTCCCATTTTACAGAGAAGGAAACTGAGGTTCGGAGGAAGAACCTACATCAGTGAGGTTTTGAGGGAAGGCTATTATCTGCAGAAGGAACTGCGTGAGCAGAGGCTGGGGGGTGGTATGCGCACAGTGTGCCTCTAAGGGTCAGGAGTCTGGCCTGACTAGAGGTTAACACATGGAGGGAAAGAAATGCCTTCTGAGGGGCCATGTCACAAGGATTTTTAAAGTCCAGTTGAAGGAACTGAACTTTATCCTGAGCGTTGTAGGAGCAATAAAGGCCATTAAGCAGGCAGAACCGTGGTCAGATTTTGGGGTGGAGGCTGGATTACAGGAAGCTGGAAATGAGGAGGCTGGGGCAGCAGTCAGAGGGGTGAAGGGATCCCTGGTTGAGCTAACCTGGCTCTGAGCTCCAAATTCCCCCAGTGCAGGGCAAATTAGTCCCCCCAAATCGACGCAGAAGGAAGGTGAGGGCTGACCGTTCTGCACTCTGTGACTCTATGAAGCTGCCTTGTCCCTTCTCTGCCTGTCCTTCCTGCTGCTCTGCTTTCCACATGTCTGCCCCTACCTTCTGCCCAGCTGCACTGCTATATACATCATGTCCTTCTGGCCCCAGGGCGTGCCTAAGTGTAGTGTTTGTGTCTCTGTACCAATGTCTGCCGACTTCTGTGTTCACACCTGGGCCTGTGGGCTTCTCTCTGGCCTCTGCCTACATAGGAGTGACCTGGGCTTTGTCCCTCCACGTTCTGCAGCCTTATACCTTACTCTGGGCGGAAGCTCCAGGAAAAGCCCCCGACCCCTGCCATTCCAGGAAATACAGGGCGGTGGTGGTGAGCCTGGTCAGGGGCAAAGCTGAGAAGGCCAGTGAAAGGGGGAGGGGGACAGGAGGGTAGGTCAGAGTTCTTCTGTCCTCCCTGGAGACTGGGAGCCTCAGCTGCCTGAAACAGCTGAAGGTGGGCTAATTCTGGAAACATTACCCATCCTCCTTCTTTGAATACCTCTGGCGTAGTCACCACTCCTCTCTGAGCCGCCTCCCTCTTCCATGGGCTGAAGAGGAAAAGGACATTCTCTTCCCAAGCTAAGCTGGTAGAGGGCTCTGGTAGGACCTTTTAAGAACTGAGTCTTCAGATGCAGAGGGCCTCTGACTCCCTCTTCCTTCTTGGGTTTCTGTGGCTTGAGCAGGCCCCAGCTGGAGCCACGGTACTGCCCAGGAGCCGCCGGGTTTGCCCCAAGGTCAGGTGTGTGACCCGAACATGGAGTCCCTGTAAGGTTGAGAGGCGGATCTGGGTAAGTGCTGGCTCAGTCCTCCCTGCCTCCAATGTGGCCACCAGGATGTGCCTCCAAAACTGGGTGTTATCACATCCCTTCCCTACTCACAACTATTCCATGGCTCCCTATCACCCAGTGGACAGCAAGCACAGCCCTGCTTTCAAGGCCCACGGCATCTGGCCTGGGTCAGTCTTACCTGCCACCCATCCTCGTCCCCTCTACTGTAGCTGCTCTGCTGTACCCTCTGCTCCCATCTGACCCAGACAATTTCCCTCTCCCCAGCCTGTGCACATAATCCTCTCTGCTTTAAAGACCCTTAGTTTCCTGATTCACCTGACAAACTGCTTATCCTCTAAGCCCCACCTCAGAGGCTACCACCCCCTCAGGAAGGATTTCCCAGACCTCCAGGTATTGTTACTTCCTTCTACAGTACTCCGCACTAAGGCTTAGTTCTGTCCTCATTCTGCCTGGTTTCAGAGGAAAGAAGGGAAGAAGTGAAAAACCTGTTATGGCAGAACCACTGCATAGTCTGTGCCTGTGTCTGTGCCCCTCTCCCCCTGCCAATTTCTGGAAAGCAGGATGTGGGCAGTGGTGACTTGCATTAGAGTATCTATGGTCTTACAGTCAACTGTGAACTCCTTTTCTAGCACAATGGTGCTTACTATGGCTGTGCATTAGAATCTCTAAAAACTTAAAAAAAATAAAATTCAGATCCTGGGCCTCCCCGGTGGCGCAGCGGTTGAGCGCTGGGTTGCGAAGCTGCCCGCAGCCTCTGCAGCGCCAGTTCAATCCCCTGCTGCTCCCCGGCCACCAGAGGAGGGTCCCGCATGGCGCACAGACCTCTCCTGCCGCCCGCTGCTCCCCTCAGCAGTGTACTTCGGTCCTTCTCCCTGCTCTGCTCCCCGCTCTGGCTCTGGTGAATTATCTCACCCTCCCGTGCTTCTGACTGTACCCAGTGCTTGTATAAATAAATCTTAAAAAAAAAAATTTCAGATCCTATACCTGGATGCTCTAAATTTACAGATCTAGGGTGGGACCTTGGCAATCTGTGGTTTAAAAAATTTCTCCTGGTGATTCTTAGGTGCAGAACCACTGAGCACAGAAGTGCCAGGCCCACTCAACAGCAGACTTGGCTCTGCTTGATTCTCACGGTGCCCAGGAGTGTGGGCAGTACAGGAAACACTGTGTCCATTTAGAGATAAGAAAAAACTGCAGCTCTGAGAGGTTACATAACTTGACTGGGGTCACTTAATTCATCAGTGGCAGAGTTAGTTCTCCCAGCTCAGCATTCTGAGGCATCCCCCATGCCCAAACTCAGATACAAATTTGTTTAAAGTAGGGCTGCCTAAAAATAGGATTTAAAAGTCTGTAAACCTAGTATACAACAGCTTTTCTGAAAGAAAGAGTCATTTACATGTGACCTCCTGAGTGGCTGGCCTAGTCCCATCCACAAAAGGGGCTGGGCCTGCAGAGAGGGAGAGGATCAGGGATCAAACCTTTAGGTTCTGCCCATGAGGTTTCTGCTCTGTTGCCAGGTGATCCACATGAGTTTACTTCTGGGCCTCCCAGGCCTGCAGGATAAAAACAGTTGCCCTACAGGGACATCAGATGTTTTCAACTTCATTAGAACCTGACAGGGGTACTGACTCACTGTGTAGCAGCAAGGCAGGTGTAGCCTCTGGACCTCAACTTCCCTATCAGTAAAACTAGGGATCCGAGTGCTTGGATTTCCCCAGCCCCTTCAAGAAAGGGCCGGGATCCTGGTCAACCCCACTCGAAGCCCTATTGGATCACCCTTGGGGAACGAGCACAGTGAAGGGATTCACTTGTCTGCCTATCTGAGCCTCCTGCATTGCTTTGAGATTCTTCATTCTTTCTGATTTGAAACTGGATTCAGAGTTGGGTGACCTTAGTTTCAGTCTGGCACTGTATTTGATCCTCTTGAGATAAACTCAATGAACACTAGGCACTTCACATAGTCCAGTTAGGTCTAATTAGACCCTAATCAGTCCCTATCTTAGCAGGGGTAAAGGATGGGGAGTTGTCTCCAAGTCTGATACGAGAAACACACACAGGTAATAAACAATAATGTGACAGAGTGATAAGGGAAGCCTAAAGACTACAGGACATATATGGGACCCCAACAGAACCTGAGGTTCAAGGAGAGTGATAATACTTGAGCCTGAAAAACAAGCTATAGAGAGTTGAATGGAAAAAGGTACGATGGTGGGGCCTCCCCTGGTGGCGCAACGGTTGAGCGCTGGGTTGCGAGGCTGCCCCGCAGCCTCTGCAGCGCCAGTTCGATCCCCGGCCACCGGCGAGGGTCCCACCAAAAAAAAAAAAAAAAAGAAAAGAAAAAGAAAAAAAAAAAGGTACAACGGGCATCCCAATCAAAGGATAATGGCATGCAGCTCTGAAATCATAAGACATGCTTAGAAACTCCCCTTTATAGCCCAAGTTCTTGAAAGAGCTACATGATATGTTGACTCCACCCCTTACCTCTCAACCATTCTTCAACCCTACGTAGTCTGGCTGCTTCTCTCAACTACTCCTCTGAAAATTGTTTTATCAAGATCACCCACAAGTTCCAAGTTACCAGAACCAATGGTTTATTTTCTTGGCACTGGTAGTATCTGATGTGATATGAAAGATGAGTGTGTGAAGACAAGGGTATCAATTTGATTTCTTGGGTTGAGAGCACGCTGGTGGCATTTAAAGAAAAGCATATACAGGAACCAGGTTTGGGGGGAACAGAACAATGAGAAAATTATTTTGAGATTGGTAGAATTTAAGATACTTGGACTTTTAAGGGGATTTCACACTTTCAGTTGTCAAGTTCAGTTAGAGATATAGAGTAGAAGGGGGCTAAGAAGAAGGATCCTGGGGAGAAGGGGATCTTGCCCCTTCTCCAGGTCTGCTCCCCTATGAAGTGTTTGAATAAGGAGCTTCCATTTAATTCAGCATTATGTTCACTGGTTCTTGCTATTCAGTGGCCCCTACTGGTGACAGAAATGAGTCAGAGTCCTTGCTGATAGATAGCTCACATTTGGGATGCAGGCAGGAAAGGTCAGGAGGAAGGATAGGTACAGGAGCCACATAGTCCATAGTTAACCCAGGAGAAAGGATTCTTTCTGAGACTAGAAGCTTCCTATAGTGGGTGACTTTTGAGTCAAGCTTTGAGGGGTTGGTAAAAAAACTAATGGGGAAGGGGAGAGGGAGTGTATTCCAGAGAGGATGGGCCATTTTTCTCTGAGCCTGCCTTCCCAGCTCTGTGAAGATAATGCCAGCTGTAAGGATGAACGCCTCCCTCCAGACCTGTGCATGATAGATGCTCGATAATGGCTTTGGTTACTTCCCATCCCTACCCTTTCTTTTCCTATCTTCCTTTTCAATCCTCTTTTATTTCCCGGGCCTGGGGTTTGGCCAAGACCTCCTTCCATGACTAGGAGAGTAGAGAAGTCTATTGGGTTTCTCCAAGTGGGATCATGGAGAAACCAACAGCAATTAAGTAAGTTGGGAGCCATGGAGAATTTCTGATAAGGGCAGTGCTGGGTAGGAGGACAGCTCAGGAAAAAAATGGCAATTATGGGGACTGGAGGTAGGGTCTGAAATTTTGGAGGACTAGTATCAGGGACGTCCTGGGGAGGCAAGGCCTTTCTCCTGGAGCTTCTGGTCCCTGGGAATCCATTTATAAACTTGGGGAGGTGACTGGGGGGGAAGGGGGCTTGAATCAGTGTGAGGGTAGGGGACCAGACCTGGGTCAGGGAAAACCCAGGTGGCTGACTGGTAGGGCTCCCCAGGTACGTGTCTACAGCCCCTACCAGGACTACTATGAAGTGGTGCCCCCCAACGCACATGAGGCTACTTATGTTCGCAGCTACTATGGACCACCCTATGCAGGTAAGTGTCGGGACCGCCCCACCCTTACCTTCATTCACCATCAGGCCCCGCCCATGCCCTCTATAAGGCCCTCCCCATCCATACATTCAGAATAGCTCTTGGACCAGCCACCTTCCTCATGGCAGAGCCGACTTCATCTCTGTAGCTGGACGTTTATTGGTCCAGTGGCCTAACAGCCGTTCTTGAGCTCGTAGCGACCCCTGGTGGCTAATATAGGAACCGTTTCCTCCCACTTGCAGATTCTGGCTATAGGGAATATCCACCCAAGGTGTGGCTGAAGATGCTTAGAGATCCAGGGGTTTCTTTACCATACCACCCCTCGCCCCAAAACATTTGTAAGCAGATCCAAGGCCTAGAAGTCATTGTGACTGCTCACATACTTCTTGCCTCAAAGCCTAGTTTTTCCTGTTGGGGAGTTTAAGAGTGGGCTCAGCACCTTACTTTGGGTTGGGCTGGAATCACACGGGAGGACTGGGATGATGATCTCTCTTCTCTGTGCTCTGAAGTGTTGCACCCTCATTACCTCTCTCTGCAGGCCCTGGCGGCGTGACGCACGTGGTAGTGCGGGGGGATCCCTGCTACAGTTCTGGCGCCCCACTGGCCATGGGCATGCTTGCTGGGGCTGCCACCGGTGCAGCGCTCGGCTCCCTCATGTGGTCTCCATGCTGGTTCTGAGCCTCAGGACTCTGTGCTTGACCCTGTGCATAGACCAACAGATCCCTCTTCCTCTTAGACCCACCCTTCACAATCTAAGCCCAGGTCCCACTTTGACTCCTTTCTCTTCACTAGCCCCTTCTGGGTTAGGACCAACCCTTCCACTTTCCCTGCCTGCAAACGTAAAAAAACATCCCTGGCACAAACAGCTCAAAGCCCTCATATTCACCACCAAACACCCCAGAAATCCATTATGGACACACATGTATATATATTTTTTCCCAAAACACACCAGGCAGGACACAGAAAACACAACTCATTTGACTTAAAGTTACCCAGCACTGGGGACAAACATGAGTCAGGTTCTTTCCTCCTACAGAAGGGAATAAACAAAAATCTTGACAAGGCTATTTGTCTTTTAGCATTTGAGGGCAGAGAGTGAGGAAGGTGGGCTAGGAGTATAGTTGTTGCAAGGCTGCGGAGCAGAGAGTAGTTACTATTGATTCACTGGATGTGGCATCAATGAATTAAAGGGGAATTCAGTTGGACTTGGGTGGGGACAGGTGTCAGATCATGATGAACCTCCAGGATAAGAGGTAGCTGGGAAGGGGGAGATGTGAGCTTTTTGGGAGGGGCATTTCATAATTGCACCTATAATGAATATATTGCTTGTATTAATATTGACACATACACAAACCCAAAACACTCGAGTTTAGCCCCATCCTTCCCACTATCAGTTTCCTGGATCCCCTGTCCCCTCAGTGCTTAGAAAGTACCTCTTTCCATATCAGGGTGGCTGGGGCAGTCATTGAGATGAAACTGTGGTTCCCTTTGCTGGGCGGGAGAGGGGGACAGCTAAGCTGTTTGGGACCTCCAGCACTCGGATGGTGCCTCCATTAAGAAAGACATTTCTGGTCCTCAGGAGTTTGACCCTCTGTCCATAGCTGTGGTTGTCACTATCTCAGGCTTTGTCTCTTCCTTCACTCTGGGGGAGATGGCATTGTTTATATCTGTGGCCTGATCTTTGTGTCAGTCTGGAAGACACCATGTGTTCTTCCTGTAGGTGGCCCAGCAGTCTCCCCACTTGACCCCCTTCTGCTCCCCTCCCATTATGTCCTTATCACCAACAAAAATGCTAACATCCTTGCTCAGTATCCAGAGTAGCCTGCTACAGTTCCCTTGTAGATGGGGGGTTCATTGGCCTTGCTGCAGAGACTAATAAAGGTGTGGTTGGCTCAAGCCCTGGCTCTGGTTTTGTTTGTTCCCCCAGGAGGCCCTGTCTCCCTTTCACATTTCTGGACTCAGCACCTAATACTGCCTTCTCTGGTAAAGTGACAAGAGCATGGATTATGAGGTCAGCTGGAACTGGTGACAGCTTTTTAGCTGAGCAATTTTGGGCAAGGCATTTAACCTATCTGAAGCTTGTCTTCTCCACCCATAATGTGGCAGGTTGAAGTTAGGCGTAACATAGGACTTGAGAGGCTTCTCTATCATCTGAACTGATGGGAAATCTGGGCTATGCCCTGCTTTCTGAGAGCCCAAGGTATTGGGGTATTTTCCAGTAGGTTCCCATCCTTAAGTTGAATCAAATGAGTTGTTCTCATAGAGACCAGGTGGCCAGGGAAGGAATACAACCACCTTGCATCAGGTCTTTTGAAACTTCAAGTGACAAAACCCCTCTATTCAAACTGATTTAAGCCAAAGAAGGGAAAACAGTGGGCCACATAACTGACAAGTCAAGGAACTGTGTGGTCCACAGACTTTTCAAAGAGTGTAACTTAGATTTTACTTTGTTTCCATCTTTACAGGCTGGCTCATTCAGAGGCTGCATATTTAACAGTTCCATAGTAACGCGCTCTTGGGTTCATGTCTAGCCAAAAGCGCTTCTCTCAGCAATGTGAATAAAAGTTTTAGGACTAACATTAGCCAAGTTGGGTCCTGTGGCCACCCCTGAATCTATAATGATCTAGAAAAGATGGCCTAAAAGAGAGGGGCTTAGAGCAGGAGTGGCATAGTGTCCCAAAAGAAATTTAGGGTACTTTCCCAGTAAGATGAATAGATGAGAGCTGAATGGCAGAAACAGATGTTTCCACTTCTGCTATATTCCCAGAGATATACAAGTTAGAAAGGGACATAAACAAAGAGTTTCTCATTCATTCAATGAGATAAGAGGGAGCTCTGAGGAGGTACCCAACTATGCCAAAGGAACTGGGGAAAGGTTTGGGACAGGGAGTGGAAATGTAGGATAAGCCTTGAAGTACGAGTTTGCCAAGTAAAGAGAGGGAAGCTTTCCTCATAGAACAGATGGAAGAAATGGCATGAGCAAGGGCCTTAGAACACATTGACCTTGTAAGCACCGTGAAGTTCAGGAAATAGTCTGATGTCACATCAGGTTGCAAGTGAGGGGAGGGTGAATGGGACCAGACTAAGAGAACCTCCCTCAGCTGGGTGAAGGGCTCTTTTCTCTGCTTCTATAACCTCATGGCTCAGTTGGCCACAGTCCTGATGGCACTGGTTCTCAGTGACTCACCCCACCGAACAGAGCAAGAGGGATGCAAATGGATGCTCCGGATGCAGTCTGCTGTAAAATCTCTCCATTGGTAGGACTGCAGCATGAATTTTTTTTATTTTCCAGCTGTCCAATAGACAATTATTAAATCAGTCACATACATATTAAGACAAATATTAATTCTCATAGAAAACACAGTCTAATCTGGAGGCAGCCTATAGAACACCTCTGGCCCCCACATTATTTTATTAGCCCAATGCTTTCAAAAACGTTTTAAGCTAAAATATAATTGCATAGGGGTTTTTTTTTTCTTTTTTTTTAACCTATGGTTAAAGATAAAGATAAAACATTATATACTGATGTGGAGCAACTGGAAATCTCACACACTGCTGGAATGAGTGTAAATTGGTATGGTTATTTTGGAAGCTAATCAGGAAAGCCAAATATATACATTCCTCATGACCTAATTCTACTGCTAGGGTGCACTCAACAAAATGTGTACATATGTTTACCAAAAAACAGACACAAAATGATCCTAGAGAATCGTTTAAAAAAAAAAAAACCCTCAAATTCTACAATAGGATAAATCCACTGGCATATTCCATTAACAAAATGGAATTCTATGAGAATTATCTAAAAGTATATGCAAAATTATAGGTGAATCACAAAAAATAGCACAGGGCTTGCAGAGGTAGGTAGGAAAGTAGAGTTATACTATGACAAGTTTCTTGTACTTTATGTGTATTACAGTATTAAGTATATTTTGATAAATCAAAGGTGCACAGTGGAATTCCTAGGACAGCCACGGAAAATATAATGCAAAGAGGTTAAGTTAAAAAAAAAAAAAACAAGCTGCAGGGAAGTGCCCTCCCGACTTGCCATTTTAGATCAGGGACCTACTGTGTCCGTCCATCCGGAACACACCTAGACTGCGTGGAGCTGGGAAAGGGCTGCCCCCACAGCCAGAGGTGAACTGAAGAGTGCCCACTAGCCAGGGTAGCGGGCACCTTTTGGTGCCCAGAGGGTGATCCAGTCACCGCTGGGGCAGACTAAGGGTGCAGGGAAGTGCCCTCTTGACTCGCTATTTTAAATCAGGGACCCTTTGTGTGTCTGTCAGTCCGGAACACACCTAGACTGCGTGGAGCTGGGAAAGAGCTGCCCCCATAGCCAGAGGTGAGCTGAAAAGCCCCCACAAGCCAGGCACCGTCTGGCCACCGATCAGAGCCCAGAGGGGGATCCTGGGATTTGGAGTCCAGCGGGCGATCCTGCCACTGCAGGGCAGTCTGTGTGACCCCAAGACCCACCTTGGAATTAAACAAATACAGAAGGAGGAGATTCTCTGTGACAGTGACCACTAACATATTCATAGTTCGACTGCCCTACTGGAAGTCTGGCATAACAGTTTTTGACTCGATTGGACCACCAGCTTCCGACATCCCATAAAGACCACACCAAAAAGATGCCAGCCAGTACCAGCGACACAGTGTCCCAACGCATAAGACAAATCAGAAAACAAGCAGCTGGGAGAAGAAAAACTACAAGCAATCAAGCAAGTCCTCAGGGAAAAGACACACCACAAAAAGAAAATTACCAACCAGAATGCAACAAGAGTGACTTGGAAGAACTTCTGAGCCTTTCAGAAAAAGAATTTAAAATTGCCATGATTAAAAAACTGACAGAAGTCATAAAGAAAAACAATGATAAGGGGAAAATTATCAACAATCAGAAGAATGAAATTGAGTCCCTAAAGAGGGAAGTGAAAGAAAGGCAGGAGATCAAAGGATTAATGGAGGAGTTAAAGAACTCTGGGAAAAGCAGCGAAAGCAGAACAGATGAAATGGAAGAACGAATAAGTACTCTTGAAGACACAGAAGTAAAAAGAACCAAAACAGAAAAGGAAAGAGAAGTACGACCGAAAAAGAATGAAGAAAAACTTCGGGAACTATCTGATTCTATGAGGAAAGGAAATATAAGAATGAGCCTCCCCGATGGCACAGCAGTTGAGCTCTGGGCTGTGAAGCTGCCAGCAGCCTCTGCAGCGCCGGTTCGATCCCCAGCCACCAGCGAGGGTCCCACATGGTGCACAGACCTCTCCTGCCCCGCTCACTGCTCCGCTCAGCAGTGTATTTCGTCAGTCTGCCTGTGCTGTTCCCCGCTCTGGCTTTGGTGAATTCTCTCACCCGTCCACGCTTCTGACTGTACCAGTGCTTGTATAAATAAATAATCTTTAAAAAAAAAAAATAAGGAAATATAAGAGCTATAGGAATCCCAGAAGGAAAGGAGACATAGGAGCAGAGCAAATATTCAAGGAAATAATTGAAGAGAACTTCCCAAACATGAAGGAGAAGCTGAAAATAGACATACAAGAAGCAAGACCACCACCAAACTTTCATAATGAAAGGAAAAAAACAGCAAGACCCATAATAGTAAAGCTTCCAAGAATCCAAGACAAGGAAAAAATAATGAAGATGACAAGAGGGAAGAAAGAGAGAACATACAAAGGAAAACCAATCAGGCTGACATCAGACTTCTCCAAAGAAACACTATGGGCAAGGAGAGAGTGGAGGGACATAGTCAACAGACTCCAAGACAACAAATGCCAACCCAGAATACTCTATCCCACAAAGGTTTCCTCCTCTATGAAGAAAGAATAAGGACCTTCCCAGACAAACAGAAACTCCGGAATCTCATTACGACTAAACTCCCCCTCCCAAAAATACTAGAAGTCCTAAAGCCAGAACCAACAGAAGGATGAATAAGAATGAAACAAGACACCCCCAAAAAAATTTTATTAAAAAAATAAATAAAACCAGAGAAAAGACAAACAAAATGGCAAATACAGAGCTAACATATCAATATTTTTTTAAAGATTATTTATACAAGATTGATTGATTGATTGATACAAGCACTGGGTACAGTCAGAAGCGTGGGAGGGTGAGAGAATTCACCAGAGCCAGAGTGGGGACCAGAGCAGGCAGAAGGACTGAAGTACACTGCTGAGGGGAGCAGCGGGCGGCAGGAGAGGTCTGTGCGCCATGTGGGACCCTCCTCTGGTGGCAGGGGAGCAGCCGGGGATTGAACTGGAGCTGCAGAGGCTGCGGGCAGCTTCGCAACCCAGCGCTCAACCGCTGCGCCACCAGGGGGGCCCTAACATATCAATATTAACTCCAAATGTAAACAGACTAAACTCTTTAATAAAAAGACACAGAGTTGCAGGCTGGATTAAGACACAAAACCCAAAGGCCTCCCTGGTGGCACAAGGGGTTAAGCACTGCGCTATGAAGCAATCCGAAGCCTCTGCAGCACAAGTTGAATCCCCAGCCAGCCAGGGAGAAACCCACATGGCGAGGCAGACCTCTCCTGCATCGCCCGCTGCTCCCCTCAGCAGTGTATTTCGGTCAATATGCCTGTTCTGTTTCCCACTCTGTCTCTAATGGATACTCTCACCCATTCCCCCGCCCTACATCTCTGGCCTTTACCCTAGCTCATGTATGCATAAATAAATAAATCTTAAAAAAAAAAAGAAACAAAACCCAACCTTTTAATGTCTCCAGGAAACACATTTAACTACAAAAGATAAAAATAGACTGAAAGTAAAAGGATGGAAAATAATCCTACAAGCAAATGGACCAAAAAAGAAGGCAGGAACAGCTATACTTATATCAGAGAAAACAGATTTCAAACTCAAAAAGGTAAAAAGAGACCTCGACGGTCACTACATT